CCACTGAAGAGATACACCATCTAGTGTAGAGGTACAACCATCCAATGTAGAGGTACAGCCATCTAGTGAAGAGCTACAACCATCTAGTGAAGAGATACAACCATCTAGTGAAGAGGTACAACCATCTAGTGAAGAGATACAACCATCTAGTGAAGAGGTACAACCATCTAGTGAAGAGGTACAACCATCTAGTGAAGAGGTACAACCATCTAGTGAAGAGGTTCAACCATCCAGTGTAGAGGTACAATCATCAAGTGAAGAGGTACAATCATCTAGTGAAGAGGTACAGCCATTTAGTGAAGAGGTACAATCATCTAGTGAAGAGGTACAATCATCTAGTGAAGCGGTACAACCATCCAGTGAAGAGGTACAACCATCTAGTGAAGCGGTACAACCATCTAGTGAAGAGGTACAATCATCAAGTGAAGAGGTACAATCATCTAGTGAAGCGGTACAACCATCTAGTGTAGAGGTACAACCATCTAGTGAAGAGCTACTATCATCTAGTGAAGTTGTACAACCATCTAGTGAAGTGGTACAACCATCTAGTGAAGAGCTACTATCATCTAGTGAAGAGGTACAGTCATCAAGTGAAGAGATACAATCATCTAGTGTAGGGATACAACCATCTAGTGAAGAGGTACAATCATCTAGTGTAGAGGTACAGTCATCAAGTGAAGAGATACAATCATCTAGTGAAGCGATACAACCATCTAGTGAAGAGCTACTATCATCTAGTGTAGAGGTACAGTCATCAAGTGAAGAGATACAATCATCTAGTGTAGGGATACAACCATCTAGTGAAGAGGTACAATCATCTAGTGTAGCGGCACAACCATCTAGTGAAGAGGTACAGTCATCAAGTGAAGAGATACAATCATCTAGTGAAGCGATACAACCATCTAGTGAAGAGCTACTATCATCTAGTGTAGAGGTACAGTCATCAAGTGAAGGGATACAACCATCTAGTGAAGCGATACAACCATCTAGTGAAGAGCTACTATCATCTAGTGTAGAGGTACAGCCATCTAGTGAAGAGATACAACCATCTAGTGTAGAGGTACAGTCATCTAGTGAAGAGATACAATCATCTAGTGAAGCGATACAACCATCTAGTGAAGAGCTACTATCATCTAGTGTAGAGGTACAGCCATCTAGTGAAGAGATACAACCATCTAGTGTAGAGGTACAGTCATCAAGTGAAGAGGTACAACCATCTAGTGAAGAGGTACAACCATCTAGTGAAGCGGTACAACCATCTAGTGAAGAGGTACAACCATCTAGTGAAGAGGTACAGTCATCTAGTGAAGCGATACAACCATCTAGTGAAGAGCTACTATCATCCAGTGAAGAGGTACAACCATCTAATGAAGCGGTACAACCATCTAATGAAGAGATACAACCATCTAGTGAAGCGGTACAACCATCCAGTGAAGCGGTTCAACCATCCAGTGAAGAGGTACAACCATCTAGTGAAGAGGTACAACCATCTAGTGTAGAGGTACAACCATCTAGTGAAGCGGTACAACCATCTAGTGTAGAGGTACAACCATCTAGTGAAGCGGTACAACCATCTAGTGTAGAGGTACAACCATCTAGTGTAGAGGTACAACCATCTAGTGTAGAGGTACAACCATCCAGTGAAGCGTTACAACCATCCAGTGAAGAGCTACTATCATCCAGTGAAGAGGTACTACCATCTAGTGTAGAGGTACAACCATCTAGTGAAGCGGTACAACCATCCAGTGAAGCGGTACAACCATCCAGTGAAGGGGTACAACCACTGCAATCCACTAAAGAAGTATTATCATCCAACGACAATTCTTTTGAAACAAACCAAGACACTACACCAGCCATCATGTTCAGTTCTGGCGCATTACTATTAAGTCAACTGACAACGGATATTGCGGATTTGTCTACTTCATCGCTTTCACAGTTGCCCATTGACAGTATCTCTCCATCTACCGTATCCGCATTTGAAGTTTCAGCATCTTACACCGATGCTTCCCGAGCTATTGTGGAAAGTACAACTTCCATGGCACTCCAATCATCATCTTCAATGGACTCTTCGGTAAGACTTTCTACATCTTCAAGTGACACATCACAATCTTTGGTGCCAGAAATTAACATCGACATTTCCAGATATCTACTGAGGCTTACCGTCAATCCCGGTGGACAAGATACAGGCTCTGAAGATTTTAGACAAAAATTAAAAATGGGTAAGGATATTTTTTAATTCTACACGTTAGAGGTATCTATTCATTCACTAGCATAAAGAGATGACATCTTGGCGGCTGCAGCGCTCTGAACAGAACGATTTACTCTTTACTCTTGACATCCTTTCCAGGTCGAATGATCTGGGATAAATATTTTACTCAATGCTTACACTATTCAGTCTAGATTTGACTGTCGTGTTGAAGCGGATCTCCCCGTATGATGTAAAATCAAAATGTGCGATTCTTCTACCGAATACACTAATTGATAATGTTTTCTATTTTAGATTTAGAACTTTTACTGAAAACTGGAGATGAGAAATCGAAAGCAACGAGAAAACGAAGGGCTGCGGAACCCAGTCTTGCTGTCGATGTAAGTATACCAGATTTTTATCAATACCAGTGGGGGTACACAGGTGGTCCCTAGAAAATGGTTTGTATTGGACCCGTTTTTTTTCAATAAAATAGGTGTCAAAACTTTCAGATGCTAAATGGCAGGCTTGCGCCTGGCCGTGACCTCAGAGCCGATACATTTTGAATCTCCTCGGCAGTTGTCTGTTTGTTATCCCCCTCCCAGTGTTCAATTACTCTTGTATATGTACTCAGATCTTGGCTTTCTGGAAGTCTATCATTATAAATTATAATTCAGATCAAAAACATCCAAGATATATCAACTGGTAAAACAGAAGTTCAGTTTATTGTAACACCTGATGGGAAACCAATACCAAACGATGAAATCATGTCGATTCTGGGCCAATTATCAGCGGACGAAATACAACAGATAATGGAATTTGAGGTAAGAAAATATTAAGGATTTATAGATGAAATGATGTGTTGTTCGCATTTTATGTTTTTGTTCTCAAAGCATTCGGGCAATCAAGACTGCATCCAAAGTAATATCGAGACACCAAATCGTCTTCTTTTGATTAAGACACAAGGAATCATCTATCCATTTTTGACATGGCGAGATCTTTGCTTCAGCTTGTTATACAACCAGTTTACCAAAAATAACTTCACAATATCTGGCTTGTCAAGTTCTTTGCTCCAGCTTCTTTATATCTATATTATAAATTTGATGTCTACTGTTACAGATAGTGGAACCAATAACAGCAGTTCAACCAACAGCGTCCACGAAATTCATCACTGAGAACACCCCAGACAGCACTATCCAAGTAACCAAATCCCTAGAGGAGACCTCATCAACGGCTAATCAAGATTTAGAAAGCATTTCTGTTTCGATCAACTCTGCCATAACGCCTCATTCACTCGACGTGTCATCAATGTCAACAAGAGTATTGGAAATGGAAGAATTGTCTTCTTTATTCCCTTCTGTCACAAGCTCAATAGAGTCCCCAATTGACTCAAATTTAGCTCTAAGCTCTGTTAATGAAAACGATTTGCAGGTTACGGGTACGATATCTTCATCAGCGTTCTATAAATCAGCCTTCGAAAGTTCCTTACTTGAATCTAGCATGTTGTCATCACCAAACAATTCATTGACTGTGGATGAATCGTCTAAAGTTCCAAGCTCTGTTCTTGACACCCCTCTGCAGGATACAATAGCTCCATCATCAAAGTTTTATTCATCGGATGTGTCAGATTTAGAAACAGATTTGGAAGTGTCGAGCTCTCTATTAAGATCTAGCATGCCGTTGTCAACAACATCCCATTCGTTGACTGTGGATGAATCGTTATCTTCGGCTCTAAGTTCTGTTATTGACACCTCTCTACAGGATACGATAGCTCCATCATCAACGTTTCATTCAGCCTTCGAAACGGACTTGGAAGTGGCGAGCTCTTTACTTGAACCGGGCATGTCGTTGTCGTCAACACTACCTAATTCGTTGACTGTGGATAAATCGCCTTCTGTTCTTGAAACCTCTCTTCTGGAGATACTTTCTTCGTCATCAATGCCCCAATTATCCGATACTACTCCGATTCCAACGTTTTTAGAAACAGAGAGTTCATCAATATCATTGGAGAGGTCGTTATTGACTACAGTAACAAGCAGTACATTGTCAGAGGAATTTCTATCTTTACATCCAAGTTCTGTTGTTAATACCAACCTTCCTGATACGGACTCTTCAGATATTAATTTGTCTGTCCGAGAATCAGAGAGGAGCGCAATCGAATCATCGGCGTCGATTTCAGTTTTGTACTCAACCAACCCTAATTCAGACATCATTTCCTCGGTACCAACCATGGACACTTTTTCTGGGGCATCTATACAAAGTCGTGAGCCACCAACTTCGTTAGCTTCAAGCTCCATTGAAGACAGAAGTCAAACCACAATATCGTCATCCATGCTGTCGTC